TAAGCCGAGAGTAGAATCGCGAGATAAGGTTATCGAAAAAGAAGTGCTTCCCCAGGTCAGGCTCGAACTCACAGCCTCGGCATTACTCGCAGATACTGCTGTATAAGTACCGCGCGCTAACCAATTGCGCCACTGGGGACTCGGAGAGCGCTTTTACTGTACGGAAATATTGAAAACTATGAAAAACAATCAATAACATTGCATACATTACTCGTCATATTTTAGAAAACTTGGACGAAAACAAGTGTCTTAAGAATGCTAATTAGAAGAGTTATTTAAGCATAGATTAGAATCGAGTCAAGGTTATCGAAAAAGAAGCGCTTCCCCAGGTGAGGCTCGAACTCACAGCCTCGGCATTACTCGAAGATACTGCTGTATAAGTACCGCGCGGTAACGAATTGCGCCTCTGGGGACTCGGAGAGCGCTTTTTTCTGTACAGAAATATTGAAAAATGTGAAAAACATTCAATAAATTTGCATACATTACTCGTCATATTTTAGAGGAAGCTGCTGCATTGCTCTCTCGCACCTTATCATTCTTAAGACATTTGCTGTCCAAGTTTTCTAAAATATGAGAGTAATGTATGCAAATTTATTGACTGTTTTCTGCTTTTCAATATTTCCGTACAGAAGCTCTCCGAGTCCCCATGGCGCAATTGGTTAGCGCGTACTTATACAGCAGTATCTGCGAGTAATGCCGAGGTGTGAGTTCGCCTCACCTGGGGAAGCGCTTCTTTTTCTATAACCTTATCTCGATTCCACTCTCGGCTTAAATAACTCTTCTAATTATCATTCTTAAGACATTTGTTCTTCGTCCAAGTTTTCTAAAATATGACGAGTAATGTATGCAAATTTATTGAATGTTTTTCACATTTTCAAATTTGTACAGAAAGGCTCCTCCGAGTCCCCAGGGCGCAATGTTACGCGCAGTACTTTTACAGCAGTATCTTCGAGTAATGCGAGGCTGTGAGTTCGAGCCTCACCTGGGGAAGCGCTTCTTTTCGATAACCTTGACTCGATTCTAATCTATGCTTAAATAACTCTTCTAATTAGCTTTCTTAAGACACTTGTTTTTCGTCGAAGTTTTCTAAAATATGACGAGTAATGTATGCAAATTTATTGAATGTTTTTCATAAATTTCTATATTTCTGCACAAAAAAGAGTCTCTCTAGTCCCCAGTATAATTGGTTAGCGCGTTCTTATACAGCAGTATCTGGAGTACTGAGGCTGTGAGTTCGAGCCTCACCTGGGGAAGCCTTCTTTTTCGATAACCTTATCTCGCGATTCTACTCTCGGCTTAAATAACTCTTCTAATTAGTATTCTTAAGACACTTGTTTTTCGTCGAAGTTTTCTAAAATATGACGAGCAATGTATGTAAATTTATTGAATGTTTTTCATATTTTTCAATATTTCTGCACAAAGAAGGACACTCTCCGTGTCCCCAGTGGCGTAATTGGTTAGCGCGCGGTACTTATACAGCAGTATCTGCGAGTAATGCCGAGGCTGTGAGTTCGAGCCTCACCTGGGGAAGCCCTTCTTTTTCGATAACCTTCACTCGATTCTTCTCTCGGCTTAAATAACTCTTCTTATATCATTCTTAAGACATTTGTTTCTCAAGTTTCTAAAATATGACGAGTAATGTATGCAAATTTATTGACTGTTTTTCCATTTTCAATTTCCACAGAAAAAAGCGCTCTCTGAGTCCCCAGTGGCGCAATTGGTTAGCGCGCGGTACTTATACAGCAGTATCTGCGAGTAATGCCGAGGCTGTGAGTTCGAGCCCCACCTGGGAAGCGCTTCTTCTATAACCTATCTCGATTCCACTCGCTTAAATAACTCTTCTAATTATCATTCTTAAGACATTTGTTTCGTCCAAGTTTTCTAAAATATGACGAGTAATGTATGCAAATTTATTGACTGTTTTTCCATTTTCAATATTTCCGTACAGAAAACGCTCTCCGAGTCCCCAGGGCGCAGTTACGCGCGGTACTTTACAGCAGTATCTCGAGTAATGCCGAGGCTGTGAGTTCGAGCCTCACCTGGGAAGCGCTTCTTTTCATAACCTTATCTCGATTCACTCTCGGTTAAATAACTCTTCTAATTATCATTCTTAAGACATTTGTCTTTTCAACGTTT